TTTTTTTTTTTTTTTTTTTTTTTTTTTTAAGATCTTGGTGTGGCAAGGTCCTGGGATCGGGTATTTCAGAAAACTGTATGTGCAGCTCTGCTGCACCTGTGATTTTTAAAGGTGTCGTTACACAGGACCCTGAGATCAGGGAATTTCTAGATCCCAGGTCCCCGAAGCCAGGATGTGTCAGTTGTCTTGTTTTGTAGCTCCAGGACAAGGCCTTCAACCTATCAGGTTGCTGGGAACCCTGCAGCTCCCTGCTACCTGACACTCCAGACCTGCTGATGAGCTCCCCTTGACTCAGCACCATAAAAGCAACAGGGTAACATATGGCTGTCAGCCTGCCAACATGGGGAACTGTCAACCAAGCCCTGCCATGCAGTTGGCATCAGATTGCAGGGCTACCCTGACCTAACGTTCAATTTTAGGTGCAATGAAAACCAGTTGCAAAAATATTATGGATTTTATTGAATGTTTTTGTGAGCAGTTTCTTGTTTTGTCACACCATTAACTGCCTGCATGTGTGAGCAGATTACTATTATGGTGCAATTCACAGGTCAGCCACATCTTAAGTGTAACATCTCCCAGTGGCCTAATTGTACTTCAGTTAAAATGAAGATGGTGGGGCTGGGAGTTATTCCCTTAATTGGTAGGTGTATAAGCTAATATATAACCCAGTGGTGTTCAACCTTTTGGCTTCATAGGCAGTGTGTGGCACAGGACTTGTCCACAGGCTGGATCAGGCCCTGGGGCTTGGCACCATCTCCTTCTGTCTCCATCCACCAGGATTGGACACTGGGAATCCAGCACCACCCCCTCCTGCTTCTCGTATGCCAAGACCCAGCACCAGCTCCACTGGCCCTGTGCACTGGAATCAGGTGCTCAGTGCAGTGCACAGGGTCCAGCACTCTCCATGGGTCTGGAAATTTGGCAGCAGAGGTGCTGTTCCATCGCTCCCCTGTACCAAATTTCCAGATCAATGAGGAGCCCCATAGGCTGGATGATACTGTGCTGCAGGCTGAATCTGGTCCATGGGCCAGGGGTTGAGCATTCCTGATATAGACAGTAAGGAACAAATTGAGATTGGTACTGTTATGCAGTTATGTGATATACTTATCTGGTGCGTGCATAGAAGTGGACTACACCACACACGCTAATAATGCAGATACATAAAATTACCATAATCAGCTAACTGCTTTCTGTCCTTTCTACCAGGTAAGGGGGATGCCAGCTGCCCGTACCATATTGCCATGGCCATGCTGAAGCAGCCTACCATGCAGTTCATTCTTGCAGCTTGCATCGCCATGGCAGCAGGAGTTGCAGCCTGGTATGTGATGTGACGGAGTGACGTTACATGGCATCATCCATTGGCAGAAGATGTGCGCACACTTTTTTGGGACTGCTCCCCTACTATTGGTGGAGTTTTTAATGCAGGATTTAAGTAAGAAAATAATAAACCAGAATCTTCAGTGAATGCCTATTACTATCTGCATGTAAATAGTAATCCAAACAGAGTGGTACATACCTAATAATTCATATAATACATGGGATTCTGAGCTAAGAATGTAGCACAGCATTTCTAGTTAAGCATCTTGGAGCCAAAATCTCTGTTGACCTGATGCAGGTTTATAGCCTGGGCGTGTTTCTATCCTGATGCTGTCAGAAGTTTATAAACAATTAGCTTTCCATGTCTTTGAGCCTGGTGATGGGGGGGGGGGGGGGGGGGGGG